AGGTAGATCCACATAGAAGAATGTTACTTACTAGCCTACTAAATCAGGATACTACCTTTTTATCACCAAACATGCAAAAGATTTTGTCAGCTACTGAATGTCAAGGTTATTAAAAGTTATAAAGTCAATTTTTTTTTTGCTAACTAAGTAACATTTTGCCTTTTTCTGTTTCCAATGAATGGGCCAAAAGTCCACTGAAATTCTTTGCAAGAAAGATTTTTCAATAGACTGGAAATACATAAACATGCTTTCAAAACGGTCTCTTCATAACATTATAGTTTCTTCTAAAAAGCAGGTACTCTCTTAGGATTTAAAATGCCAATTTTGCCACAGAGACAACTTAGCGTTTGATTTCTCAGAGACATCTGATATAGCTTAGTAATTTTAGCCTCTTACTAGTATTTGGAACTATTGCCTTTTGTAATAAAAACGTGTACTGTATCTTTGCATTCTAAAACTCTTCGAACTCTTTGATAATAAACCTCTTTCTGCCATCTCAATATTAAGTATCACAGATTCACTTGTTCTATTTTTGTCTTTTTAGGACAGGGCTTCACTATGTAGTACAGACTGGCCTTGAACTCACTTTGTAGCCCAGGACAGCCTCCAACTCGCAGTGATCCTCCTGCCTCAGCCTTCAGAGTGCTGAGACTACAGGCCAGGCATGGGCCACCATGCTGGCCTCACTTGTAAGTGTTTTTTAAAGTAACCGTATAATAGAAAAATTGCAAACACTGAGAAACTCAGCGCTGCTGCAGCGTCTCTAGGTTACAGAATTCTCTCACCTTCCTCAGCACACCACGGGCACTGTGACCACCTACCTGAATGTACATCTACAAGAGCCTCATATTAATACAAAGCTTATCTCTTCCTTTTGGGACACATACACACAAAACGTTGTCATGTTTTTATTCTCCCACCTCAATTCACTTTCCTCACCTCACTTCATAAACTATTATCTAGTAAAATGGCAAACTTTTAGTGACAAGGTTCTCACAATTATAGCTTATAGGAAAGTAACAGCACATTCACCCCACAGGCATACAATAAACACAGACTGACCAGAATTATTATTATTCAGATGGTGGCTCCAAGTCACCAAAAGTAAGTTAAACTACGCATAGTATATTCTATTTAAACATATAAGATAGGAATGCAAATTGTTAGATTGGGATATTTCAAAACACAACTGTCTTGTGTTCAAAACATTCATTGATTTAGAATGACATCACCCAACATACTCAAGTAAAACAATTTAGAGAAAGAGATGTATTATTTATTAAGCTATTCAAAATCATACACGTATATGCAAACAGCATTTACTCTACCCTTTAACTTCACAAATTTCCCAACCTAAACTTGAAAGAAAAGTAAAGGGAGCTGTAACAAGAAAAGTTTTTTGGCATTAAATCTCAGCATAATTGTCTCAATCCTAAAAATTTTCTATTCTCTAGATCTTTTTCTAGCATGGCATTTTTTCCTGATATATTTTACATGTCCTTTTACTTTAACTTGGAAAAGTGATAAAAGTCCACTTTGAAAGGAAATTCGTTTTAGTAATTTCCTGTCCACAAGAGGGCTCCAATATTTCTTCCATGAATGGAAAAGATAATATTCTAGTATTAAGCAAATAAAATGTACTGAAAAAACTTGAACTGTCATTATCTCATCTAAGCTCAGACTACAAATCATTACCTCTGCAACAATTTCTACATGAATCGTTTTGAAAGATTCAGGGCTTTTAACTGTTTCATCAACTAAAATGTTTCAAAAACCAGCAATGCTTTGCCATTGTCAATTTCTTTCTTAGGTAGAGTTTTCAATTTCATAGATATTGAGAAGTATAATTTCTAAAGTCCTAAATAGTATCCTAAGTGTATAAAGCACTTATAAATACAATAATGTTCCCAATCTAACAAAGCAAATTTACTACCTTGACCATCCAGTCCCAGGTTTTAACACTGACAATAAATATTTTCTAGAACAAAACCTATACTTATTAACATAAATTATGCTACAATTATACACAACGAAGATTGCCCCACCATAAACTATGATGTTGTTTTTAAAAAATAAAGGAAATGAATCACTTAAATACAATGTATTAAAAAGATACTCTGTTCAAATATTTTCAATTTTTTTAAACAAATATTACTACACTGAGATATCAGTAAATCTATTTCCAACTCAATCACTCTTAGTAAAAGAAAAACCAGCATTTCATGTAAACATACATAGACACCTACAGGACAAATATTACAGAATGGTAATTGGAAAAGTACCAAGGGAAAATTATTTTTTTAAGATTATAGCAAATCCATTTACTAAAGGTGCCACTCCCCCTTTAAAAAAAAATCTAAATTTGGATTTAAAAAATTAAACTCTTTACAATAAACACAAAACTATTAAACATTTAAAAAGAAATTTTAAATGTGAGTTCTATTTACAAAACAAAAACTAATCCTAAAAAATTGATTTTAAAGTGAGTCACAGACACAGCCATGAGACTACCAAAAACATCAATTGATTTAACAATTACTACAGCTCAAGAAAGAATTACTGCTAATGAAAACATGACAGGGGTTGTAACTTCACTGCCCCACCTCATCTCCTGGATTGGATTTTCCCATAGCTGACAAGCACCACTAAAATGTAAAAAAATAACATTTGTTTCTAAATAGCACAGACCCTTAGAAAGCTTAACATTTTACAGGACCTAGCAAAAATATATGCGTTCATATTTGCAAGTTTATACGAGTATACCAGTATGTATTCAAATTAATTTAGAGTTATACTGTGAGGGTAACATTAGGTATGGATTTTCAAAGTCAGAGTGGTAAATTGTTCTCACTTTGTCATGAACGTACACTCAAAATTAATTGCCCGTTGTTGGTAGAAGGAGCTTAATCCGAAGCATTTAACCAACAACTTCTAACAAAGATCTGTATTTCCCAAAAGTTGGGAATTCTAAGCATATATGAAAGAGGGCACTTCTTAAGCAAAAGTACAATGTAAGTTATAGCAAATGAAGGTTTAAATAGCTTTCACAAAGAAAAAAATTTATTTTTTCAACAAGTTGAACATGAGGCATAAAAAATACTCAACATTGTAACCTCTGCTGTACCTCAGCACACACTCAGAGATAGCATCATCAGGGCATTATATGTTTATTACATAATACTACTTTGCCCTTGCATATCACCTTTAATCAAGGGATCTCAAAGCACCACAGAAACATCAAGGCCTTAGCATACAGTGTAAAACAGATAAACTATTGTATATTGTAACTACAGCTATTAATAAAACCTTGTTCCTACTTCCCAGTCTCCAGGATCCCCACAGGAGCTTCCAATCCCTCTGCCTGACTTAGAAACAGTATTCCCCCAAATCACCTCAATTTGTGACTGATATTACCTACATCCCATTCTTCTTCATCATCAGGCCTAAAGAAAGCAGTGGCACTATTTTAATGTCACAAATCTATCCGATTACAACCTCTGTGATGGAATAAACGGTACAAAGGTGAACATATCTTGCACTGTGCATGATGATATAAAATGGAGGCTTTAGAGACAGCAAATCTTTGCCATAGGCGATAAGCTCAGCGATCACTCATCAAACAGCGGAAAGAGCATTTCCAGGCTCCGTCTAGAGATCTTTCCAGGCAACTTCAAGAGCAGTGTAGAGGAAATCATGTCAGCCACTGTCTTACCAACTAGGAGATTATACTAGTGCGTCCACAGCAGGAGGGAAAGAAAAACTAAAAGGACGATGCATGAGTTTGGAGACTCAGGAAGGAGAAGTGTAAAGTTGCTGCGTTACCACCCCCGACACAGAACGCTGTGGTTCCTTTGCATTTAAATAGCACGTTAAATGCGAAATCAAGTGTAAGCATAATGTCTTTAAGCCAAGGTCAAAATCTCTTGTCTGAGCTCCTTTAATTTCTCTTATTTTAAAGTCTGTAAAGGAGATTTCCTCCTATAGAAATATCTGACATTTTAAAATTTAATCATCAGCAAAGTTCAATTTTGTTTTTTTTTTACTGGAATACACAAACACTGAAATGTCAATTTGATGTAAGTGAGCATAATTACATGAATTTCAATTTCCATAAACAGGATTATTCGTCTTCCTGTTAAACCGCATCATGTTTGTCCTTAGGACTGCAAAGTGTAATTCCACACTCTCACGCCCCCCCCCCCAGCACCGTAAGGCTACACAGTAACTGTTAGTCAACAGTCTCGCAACCTTAACCTTTGTCAAGCAGGAGAAAAGCGTCGATAAGCAAGGTTACTTTTTGTTTCAAGTTCTTAACACTCGGTGATCCGGGCGCCTGAACCTGTTTCCTGCGCTTGTCAAAGGCTAACGTGTATACCCCTCAATATCTGTCACTCAAAAGCCCTGGAAAACATATAAATACTTATAGATTGGTGAAAATTCCAAAACACCTTAATGATCCCGTTGTCGTACTTGTTCACCTGAACAATTCGAAGAGCTCGCAGCAAACGCTAGCATACTTTTTTTTTTTTTTTTGAAGAGCTGGACATCCTCGCTCTCCAAAAATATCAATTGTGTGCCCCCGCGCTAATTGTCTGCCTCCGTCACAGTCAGGATGCCCGTTTCCCGGTCTACCTCTGCACCCAGCACGGACGCCCCTTCTCAGCGCTGCCCACCCGCCTGACGTTTTCAGCAGCGTTAAGACACAAGCGCTGGGAGCCTTCTAGCAAAGAGCGAGCCGTTTTCTCCACTTCAAAGCCCAGCCACACTTCCCTACTTCCCCCACGGCCTCGGTGCCTTGGAACACACGCACAAGAGAAAACCCATATTAAAACAGTATTTTTTTAGGGGAGGGGGTGCAGAAGCGCCAACTTCTCCGAAGCTCCCGGCACGGTGGCTTTTCCACGGCCCCCCGCACACCTGCACGCCGGGGTCGCCTCGGATCGCACAGGGCCGGCAAGCACAGCGAAATCACAGGGGGTCACAACTTCTCGCTCACTCACCATATCCGCCGGGACATTGCTGGACATCTTGCCGTTCGGATCGCTACAGCCCGACGTTCACGCAGGAAGCACAGCAGCGCACAAGCGTCCAGCTACACAAGTGAACCCTGGCAGTTCCGATCGGCTCTGGATGTGCTTTCCAAAATAATAAGACGAAGTTATTTCGCAGCCCGAGCGCCCGCCCGGCCGAGGTTCCGGCGCGAAGGGGGACCGTCCCCGCGAGCGGTGCGGCCGGAGCGCGAGGACACCTCG